GATGTTGGATTGACTATATGGTCAATGGTGATCATTGGGTCTTGGGTTGACCAAATGATCTAGGTGGTCACCATTGGGTCCAGGGTTTACCAAATGGCCAAGGTGGTTAAAAATAGTTCAAAGTAGGTTCTACCATTATTGATCTAGTTTGTCTAAAGTGTCACTCAATTTTGAGGTCAAAAGGGAACACATTAGGGTTTGGTCCAAAGTTTAGAGTTTAGGGATCCCTGATGGGTTTAGTGAGTCAATGTTAGTAGACTTCTTCCTCAAGAAAGATTTGATGATCATAGTGGTCTTATGACTTATAGAAGAATCCCTAGGAGTCTGAGTCAATTTTGGTGGTTTAGGATATGTCCTGATCATGGATGTTGATTTAGGAAAGATCCTCACAAATGTGAGGTCAACATGTATAAGCATTTTTAGCCCAAAGGGCATCACTCTATAGCAATACACCCCTTTATCTATCTGGAAGGAAGAAGCTTCCTCATAAATGAAATCCATCTTTATATGGTTATAACCAAAATAAGCATCTATGAAGCTAAGAATTTGATGACCAAAGGTAGCATCAACTATTTGATCTATATGAGGAAGAGGAAAACTGCATTTTGGACAAGCTTGGTTAAGTTCAATAAATTTGATGCATTACCTCCAAACTCTACAAGTCTTCTTCACTATAACAATGTTTGCAAGCCAAGTGAGATGATGTACTTCCCATATAAAAATTATTTTTAAAAGCATTTCGACCTCTCGTTCAATTACTTATTTCCTTACTTGCACAAAATTTCATTTTTTTTTGGATGATTGACTTATATGTGAGGTCAATCTTTAAGAAGTGCAACATTACTTCAGGTTTAACCCCAGACATATGCGTCCCACTCTAGGTGAACATATTTTGATTTATATAGTGTCCATTTTTAATTACTAAACAACAAATATCAAAGCTGCCTAGTCCATGAGTGGTGCTCTCTTGATAAGAAGACAAAGATTAAATCTTCAACTAATGAATCCCGCTCAGATATATCTTCATCTCAAAGGTCAAAACACTTGATAATAAAAGTTTCTGATGGACATGGTTGGGCCTGTTAGAGGAAGCACAATTTTGCTACCTTTTGATCCTCACGTGTAATGCAAACTCTTGATGGTGTTTGAAACTTCATCTTGAGATGCGATATAGAAATCACAAACCCAAAGTTTGATTATAAAGGTCTTTAATATTCATTATATGTTGATTCAAAGTTGATGACAAAGAATTAAATCAGGTGAGTTATCTGCTAAAGAAATTCTTCCAATATAACATGGAGAGTAATTATCCCATTGATAATTTGGGACAGATTATCAAGTCGTAGAGAGGTCTAACAACATGCTAGATTTTTTCCCTGGTTAACCCCAAACTAAGGAAAGTTGAATATAATAAAACACTAAATTCCCTCCATCGACTAGGATTTTTTTTACATTGTAGCAAAGGTCACTAACTCCAATGCTTATAACAAGAGAATCTTAGTGAGGGACCTAACAAATCTTAAGATCAAATTCATAAAAAATGATGGAGTTATTAACATGAGATTTCTTCTGTGAAGTTTCTTCATAAGCAAAGATGAGAACATTCTTGACTAGCGACGGTCCTTCAACGATTGTTACAACTTCATGTATAATCTAAAGATTCTCTTGTTGTTACTTCCAGGCTTGTTAACCAATAAGAACATTATTGGTGTAGGGGCTCTTGATTTAAATGAATTGACCTCAATACCCTCACTAGATTAACTTTTGCTCTCCCATTGAGCTAAAAATATGCTTCAATATTATGACTACGACTTCAATAGAAGTGACAAAACTATTCTTTATTTCTTACATTTGGCCACAACAAAAGTAGTGATTTTAACGCTTATTTATTCTGAAACGCTATTAGGATATTGACATGTGATGTGTTAAGCATTGTATACTCTTTCTCTGGCCATGATTTAAGTATCTGCAGTCAAGTGTTTTTCCATTGCTTGTACTTATTCATCTATGGTGCTTGAGAAGTATCTGCGGGGTTCTTATAATGCTTTTCTTATTGGGTCTCAAATCACTTTTTATTCATATTAAGAGCTTCATCAATAACAATTTGTGCCTTAAGATGATGGATGAGCTCAACATATGGATGAATCGACCCACACATCAAAGATGAGTAAAAAGGACCAGGACGTAATCCCTCTAAGAAAATACTTCTCAATATTTCTGGCTCTACTTATGGGATTTAACGAGTTTTGATTGAAAATGTTTAGAGATAATCATTTGATTCATGATTAATTACTATACAAATACCTTTGTGAGCTCATCAAAGATATGGATGCTTCTCCTTAGAAGTGAATAAAATGAAGTGCATGCTTGAACTTTAAAAGTTTTAGGAAAAAAATATAACAAAGGAGCTCATTAGAGACTCTTTATATATACATGATGATTTTAAAGTAATCAACGAGTTCATATGGGTTAAACATTCCCTCATAAGCATCAATGCTTGGAATCTTAAACCTCAATAACATAGGGACTTGAAGAATCGTCTCAACTAATGAGAAACCTTTTAAGAACTAGACTGAACCGAGAAAAAGTTTTTAACCCTCACAAGGAACTCTTCACATACTATACATCGCAATTCATCATGAATTTTATGAGGTTAAACTCCATTCTCCACACTAGTTGGAGGCGTGTTGCTAGGCTTGACGCTCGGCGATGGGAGGTGAATGTGTAAAGCTAGTAGTGTTAAGGAGTTAGATTTACGAAGTACTTCGGTGCGTAGAGTGGGTGTCAATTGTGCACCTATGGTGAATGGATTTCAAGGTAGTTGTCCCTCTCCAAAATGCACAACTATTAGTTATCAAGCCTTGTGTAGAATTTGGAGGATCTCATTTTGAGACTCTTCCATTCTTTCCACGGTCTTTAAGTGGTGCTAATGAGGTTTCTTTGCTAGTAAGATGATGTGCATCATTGGAAAACAAAGTAGAGGCTTGGCATCAGGGACTTCAAGATTGTACCTCAGAATAATTGATGTTAAAGCGAGTAGTGAGCATATTATGCTTGTCAATCATTGATGAAGTGTTCCATGACACTTAATTTTCTATAAACGACACCAAACTATTACGTGTAAGAAATTCATGATGATAGAGTGAAAATCTAATGTCTAAGCATTGTACTAAGATCCAATACACACAAAAATAATTTAAAAATAATAGGATAAGACACTGATATTTTTTTACTTAAAAAATTCGGAAAGGGAAAAAATCATCGAGCCAAGCCCGATCAACTTAATCTTTTATAGGTTCATAAGTACAAAGATTGACCCTTGTGCCATTATTGGGAAAGAAGAGTTACAATGTTACATCAAGTACAACACTTTTTCAAACATAATATACAAAAAATGTCAAGAGTCAAGGTACAATTATCGTACTATGAATACATCAGTCATAGGCGACCACGACTGTAAGTTATCATTTGTTCTTCGTTACATAGTATTTGGGATACATCTAAGAAACTTCAATACCTCGTACTTGAGATACTTCTTTACACAATAATCACGTTACCCTGTCACTCTGTACTCGGGATACTTCGTTATACAATATTCATGATACATCGTTACACAATAGAGTTCGTCGACGACGATGAGCAAAGGGTGGCCGATGGTGGATAATGTTGGCTAACAGGTGGTGCTCAGTGACTATAGAGGCTGGAAGTTATTGTCGAGTTTTAAGTCAAAAACAACACTAGAATTTGACTCCTTTCAAGTAAAGAGAGGGTGCCTATTTATAGGCTATAGGAGATGAGTATTTTGGTCCTTTGGAGAGTAACTTCCCCAACCACTTGATTGGGTGATTCATGTTAATCCCCTTTGACCATATATATTTTTTAATGCTTTGAGGGCCTTTATGACATCAAAATTAAAGGAGCTTACGCTCATTAGACTCTTCTCATTGCGCCACTCAATTTGACTTATGTATGTCAAATCTAGAGTTCATTTGACCGTCCAATTAACTACTCAAAACCTCTAAGTGTGATTTAAGAGCTTGATCGAGGCTTGATTTGACTAAGATTGAACCAATTTTGGCTTCATTGGGTTTGTCTTATCAAAACAGTCAGTTTAACTATAAACTTGATGAAATAAGAACTCGTGATGATCCCGAATTTGAACTTGGAATTTTTATTATTAAAAAATATCTCGAGACTTGCATCATATGATAAAAATTTGTTGATGATGAACAATAGTTAATAAATTTATAAAAACTCTATCAAACCATAGTAGATATAAGTTAATATTCTAATTCATAATTTACTAAATGTATTTCTAAAAAAATTGATTTAATCAAAATTAATCATAAAATCTAATAAAACTTACTTATTATTAATATTAATTAGTATTTAACCTTGATTATATTTGCTTAATAATTTGCAACCAGATTAATTTATTAATTAGTTATTTATAAATTTAATATTACACAATAAATTTTTGAGGAATTTACATACATAATACATAACTCTTATACATCTATTTATTTAGCATTTAAGATTTGTAACACTATAAAAAGTGAACATTAAATTAAGAAATAACTATCACTAATACTTTTATGTAGTTGAGATATTAGTAACATAAAACCATAAGAATTAATTGACAAGCCTCTAAATTAAAAAAAAAAAAGTTAAACTAAACAATTTATAATATCAATTTATCAAAATTATTATTAAAAAATAAATAATAAGGTATTTATATTTACCACCCAATTATCATGATTTTACATGTTTAACATCAATTTATAATACTTGAAACTTTTAATTCACATAAAAAATATTTAGTACCATTAATTTTTGAGAAGTGAAATAGGCTTCTTAATATGTAGATAAATAGGATAAATACAAAAAACAAATTTAAATATTAGATATATAAAATTATTAATACATAAGAATTCTTTCAATAAATAATAATATAAAATTAGCAATACATGAAAATTCTTTCTAAAAATAATGAGGGCCTCTTCTTCTCTCCCAACCATCCCAAATCGCATGGTTAGGAACCCGCGCCCGGAGCTAGGTGGAGAAGGCGTTGACGTGCTAGCGGCGTCAGCGTGCGAAGCATAAGAGGATTTGTTGACCTAGAAGAAGCGGAGGTGAACCGCCTGTCCTTCACCCCCTTCGCGTGCTTCAGTTGCAAAGCGGAGGAGTAAAGGGATTTAAGATTCTGCAGGATTTCGACTGTTTGGTAGGATTTACGCAAGATTTATTTCGTAAATCCTACCACCAATAGGAGTAAAAGTGAAAGTCGTCTCGCTCGCAAACGTTATCTTTATCGCTGTTAGTCAGCCGAGGGTACTATCCCCTTCTTTTACAGTGAAGTCACCCTCGCTTAGCGCTACAATACGCACTCTGACAAGGGAGGGTTAAGTTATAGAAACGAGTGCTAAAGCAGTAACTCGCTGAAATGAAGGTCGTTGCGCTGGTGAGTGGGGGGAAGGATAGCTGCTTCGCGATGATGAAGTGCATAGATTTCGGCCACGAGGTCATTTTAGTAACTCCGATCGCTTTGTCTTATTTCCTTGATATTTTTCTCTCTTTCCGTGTTTAATTTTTCTTTTGTTGTTAACTGATTCGACTGGTGGTAGATTGTTGCACTGGCCAATTTGATGCCAGTCGATGATTCTGTTGATGAATTGGATAGCTACATGTATCAAACTGTAAGGTTCTTCTCTCGTTTTCTTCATTTTTATTTTTTAATATATTGAAATATTTGCATGCATACGTACCACTCAATTCTAATGTATTTACATATCTAACACCTAAACTTAATTTTTAAATTTATGCCACCTTACCTATGCATTAAAGAATGTATTTCACCTTTTAGAAGTCAAAATAGTGGTATTTTTTATGTGATATGAAGGATTTGGGTGGTATAAATGTAAGAAAGCATAGTATAGCTGTTAGATATGTGAATTCATAGGATTTGGGTGGTATGCATCTTAGAATTGCTAATACTTTTTAACTCGACTATGTTTCCTTTTTTATTGAAGGGGAATTCACAGTTGATTCATGCACCTGTATAGACATAATCAAATACTTTGATGGTTTGAGACATTCACTTGCAAATTGGAAGATCCGCCTTATAATTTAATAACACAACAAAAGATAATTTTGTCGCTGAATTCCTTAATTAGTGTATTGAGGTTACAACTTTATCTATCACGTTGTAAAACAAATCAGAAAATGATAATACAGTGGCTGATAGATGCATAAAATTAAAGTGTATATGAGCAGATTATTCTTGGGACATTTTGGTACATTCTGAATCATGTTATTATCAAAAGTCAGGAGAAGTTTATCATCATTTTGTTGGACTAGTGAGATTGTAGAGCTATAGATTAATGTCTCATATAGGTTGAAATAATTGTTTAGGTGCTAATAAACTCTGTTTCTTTTTTGCTATAGGTTGGCCACCAAATTATCATTGACTATGCTGAATGTATGGGTTTACCATTGTTTCGTCGAAGGATACATGGATCAACAAGGTTGAGACTCCATCCTGCTTTAAAAATTATTGTGTTGTTTATATCATTGATGTTTGGAGCTTTTTCCTTTGAGTTTTTTCCAACCTATATCTAATCGTTTGAGTTTGTCCAACACATTTCTTTAACCCAAGTCATTAAGCTTTAGTTTTCTGAATCCATATTGTTTTTCTTCGTTGATGGAAACCTACCATTTGATTTTGTTCTATCTAATACTTCAGCTCTTCAATTTGGTGTTTTATTGTATAAACAACGAGTTAACACCATCTTTGTGTTTTTCTTATTTGTATGATTCTTTTGAGTAATTTTCTCGGATGTGATAGGGATTAGAAATTTCTGTTTCCAGCATGCATCTGTTGTTGGAAACTTGATAAAATTTTCTTAATATCCGCATTAGGACACTTATTGTGTGAACTTTCTTTGAATTTATGTCAGTGGAAAATATAGTCTGTTTTTCCATATCCATTTTTTTTTTTGTTCAGAAGAACAATTTGATGTTTAAGGTCTGCACATTATTCATTTATTTTTATAAGATGGCAAATGAATATTTATTTGTGTAGGAATCAACAATTAAGCTACAAAATCACTCCAGGAGATGAAGTTGAAGATTTGTTTATTTTGCTAAATGCAGTTAAACAACAAATTCCTTCCGTGACTGCTGTGTCATCTGGCGCTATTGCATCTGATTATCAAAGATTGAGGGTGGAGAGTGTTTGTACAAGGTTAGGACTTGTTTCTTTGGCTTATCTATGGAAGGAAGATCAAGTACTCCTTCTTGAAGAGATGGTAATTTAAAATTAATGTTACTTTTTATTGTTAGTTTTTGTACTGCTTTTGTACCTATGCATTATTTTCTTATTAAATGGCTTGTCCTTTATGTGCTTGTAGATACGAAGAGGCATTGTAGCTGTTATTATTAAGGTAAATGTTTCCATTAGTAGGGTTTATATGTATTTTTTGTGATATTCATTTGTATAAACTCTTAATTTACTACTGAATGAATGACCGATGCCCTAGTTGGTGCATGGCAGTTAATGTTATTCCTAGTACAACTAGAATGATCTGGTTTATGCAAATGAAGCATGAGAATTTAAAGATTAACATATCACAAACCATTTGATAAACTAACGACTTACTTTCATTAAATGCAAACAATAAATATGAGGATTGAAGGTTGATTGATAATTTGATAATGGTATAAAGTAGAAGATATAAGTGATAAATTTAAACTAAATATAATCAGCGAGCAGTTGTAATTCAATTGCAACAGTTCGATTCTTGGTTATGTTCATTTTGAACAAAACCAGGAACACTTAGATGCCAATATTATGCTTTATAAAATAAATTTTATCAGGAAAAGAAGTCAACAAAATAAGAAATTCATGCCTCATAATGGTAAAAGAAGACGACTTCTACAAAATTAATTAATCACACATCCACACTCCAGAGGAACCTGACGTTCAATTTGCATATGCTAGATCATAAACTAGAGGGCTAAAAGTTAATTCAATAAAAATGTTAAATTATGTCTTAAGTTCTATATTTACAAGCTTCTCATTGCTGCATCAATTGTTATGGTTGGCATTAGATTAGCTTAATTTGATTTCATATGACTGTTCTATATTTACAAGCTTCTTATTGCTGCATCAATTGTTATGGTTGGCATTAGACTAGCTTAATTTGATTTCATATAACTGTCAAATTTACATCTGAATCTTTCCCAAAAAAGTAAAAATTAAAGCAACTGCTTAATGTATATTTTTTGAGAAAGGAAGTCTCAGAGAGGATGATGTCATAGTAGAGATATTGCTAGAGTCTCAGAGAGCATGAAGTTATGAAACACGTGAAACATCAAACACTTGTGCCAATTTCGAAAAATATTTGTTCTTTTGAATGAATTTTATGACATTCTTTAAGCAAATTATGGCAAAAATTTTATGTTTCCTGCAAAGTATTCAATTAATCATGATAATAAGCTTATCTCCATAGCGAACAAGATGTCTCTAGAATCCGTCATCAGTAATGTAGGTCATATCATCATCCAAATAGCCTTAGGAACAAGATGTATAGAACTTTATAATAGAGAATTGCGTGATTATTTAAAAGGAAATGATGGAATGAGAGATGAATACATGAAAGTAACTGCAAGCTTATGACTTGCAACTGATTCTGATATATTGAAAATTGGATGAATTTCAAAATTTCATGATGTTTCTAATTTACAGATGCTAGTTGCTGCAAAATTTAAGTGGAGCCATTTTTTTGAATTTGATTTTATAATGGTTTCTTACCGATGCCATTTTGAATTTAAGTGCACCTTGAGATTCTCCATCTTTTAAGTCATTATATATGTTATCCACATATTAGCAAAAAACAAATAATTTTCATAGTAAAATAACATTTTTTTATGAACGTCCTTATGCAAGCCAGGCAAATGAAGGTAATGAAAATACTAGGAAGCTAATATGCATCATAAGAGATATTGTTAACGTCCGTAACTAATCCTTATAAAAGAAATTAAAAGAAAACAAATCACTCAAGTATGATGCTTACATGGAGGAATGACCTCTTTAAATAAAATTTAGCTAAAGTTGCTCAAAAATTAGTTGTGATGAGTTATGTCCTCTTAGAATTGACCAGATGGATGGAAAATACTGACAATTAATATTAGCAACTTCTCTAGAATATGGATGCGGCTTATATCATTGCAAGGTTTGCTCTATGGAATTTTATGCCACTAAACTAAAAACTAAAATAAAATTGATTTCAGTCCATTCATTCAACCCAATAACAATGCCAAAAGCTTATTTATCAAGAATTGCATTGCATGCGTGCGTGCGTTTCACAAGCATAAGTTCAACCTGAACCAGAAACACCTTGGCGATATGCTAAGAAAGGTAGAGATAGACCTAAAAAAACTTGAGCTTGTTGTATAAAACATGATCTTAATTTATTAGAATTAAATGAAAATATGAAACTCCATAGGACAAAATGGAGAAAATGGATTCATGTAGCCAACCCCATTTAGTGGAATAAAGGCTTGTTTTTGTTGTTGTTTATTTTCATTCACCAACTTTAATATTCTAAGCTTATTTTTCCTGTGTTATCATCAACTGTAGGTTGCGGCTATGGGTCTGAACCAGAAACACCTTGGGCGAGAACTTGTGGATCTGCAGAGCCATCTGCTTCAAATGAATGAGTATGTGTGGGGTATATTAACTCACACCAACATGAACTTATTTATTCTTCTTGTTTCACTTAAAGCAGCTTCTGAAAATGTTTGACCTAGTTAATTGCATGCTTACTTTACCCTTTTTGGATTTAAGAAAGTGAGTTGATCTGTGTGTAAGCAAATCTTTTTTCTCGAAAATTTGTTCGGATTTGAAAAGTGTGGACGCTTTTCTATGGCATTGCTACTGCCACTTATAGATCAGAGTTTTTTTTTATAGAAATGCTAGTTCAAACTCCAAAGGGATAACTATCAATTTCCTTCAAAGACATGAGTAAATAAACACAAATTTATGGTTCTAAGTGTTGTCCATGCTGATTTCGTATTCGATTTAACTTTTGATGCCATGGTTAGTAGAATAAAACATGATTCCGCTAAATTTTATCCGATACCTCTATTTAAGTTTTCAGTCTTTTTTTGATCTCAATCTAAATTAACTTTCAAATAATCAAAATTAAAGGAATCATTTAAAGTGCCACATTCTAGATTTCCTACTGCTTATTATGCAGCACGATTTTTGTTTGCCTTTTATAGATCATACCTCTGTCTAACTTTTGGCATCTCTAATGATTATAACTTTTGCTAACATGATTTTTTCCGCATTTAGCTTTCAATTTGCAAATTTTTTAAGCTTAATTATTTTATTTTCACCTTCTTATATTTTTATGCATAAAGATTAAAGAATGTAAACCCCATGCACCGGTGGTTAAGCTCATGCTCATGCGGAATTGTTTTTGTTTGTTTAGGCTCTATGGAATTAACGTATGCGGTGAAGGAGGAGAATATGAAACATTAACTCTTGATTGCCCACTTTTTAATGTAAGTCATGATCTGTGTTCCTGCTTTCATAAATGTGAATTGCTATTTTGGGTTACTTTTTCCCATTGTTCGTTTAATTTTTGAACACTAATGACGTGTCTTGTTGTCTGCTATCATAATTGAATATGTGACCATATAATTATTGAAGAAAGGATTAAAATAGCACAAGCGATGTTATGCATAAGTTAGTAATGCTGTATATTGTCTGATAAGCAAAACTTATATTAAATTGTTATGAATTTCTTTCTCTTGCCTACTTCCAATTTTTTTTTTTTTGGGCTTACATAAGTTAGTATTAGTGTGGGCTTTGCCATGTCTTAGCTCGAGCATTTTTGTAGGTTCCGATCAACAACATTGGGAGAGATGGAGGATTGAAATAGCACAAGTAATGTCATAAATAAGTTAGTAATGCTGGGTATTGTTAGATAGGCGAAAATTATTCTAAATAGACTTGAAATCCCTATTCATATCTACTTCCAATTCTATTTTTTTGGGTTTACATAAGTTAGTATTATGGCAGGCTTTGTCATGTCTTTGCTCGAGCATTTTTTTAGGTGTCGATCAACAACATTGGGAGTGATGCTCTATTAAATATCAAATGAACTTGCAATCGAGTTTCTTCTGTAAAGGAGAGAATGATGAGATACTTGGTGGATAATTGTTGAGCTTTTCACCCATCACTTACAATTTACTTACCATTTTATTTAGTTTTATTTTTCAACCATTAGCCATCCCATATAGTTCATATTTGACGCTATAAAATGCATTAATATTGGAAGGTTTTTTGGGAGAGCTTAAGAATGAAAGAATGAGAGATTCCTTTTAGTTGGCAAGTGATTCCCAAATGCAATGGTTGAGTGATGTCTTGATTATTATGGGTGAGGAACCCCAATAGTTTTGGATGAGTGAATCTCCATTTCATATATGCATTTTTTCTGAAATAGTATCGAAATTCTTCATTTTATTAACTTTCAATTATATATTATTTTTTATAGAAAAGAAGTGGATGGAAAATTTGATTTGTTTATTCCTCCAATGTGTATTTACACAAAACTACTTAGTGAATAATGGATTGGAGGGTATAAAATCTTAAGGAGAAATATTAATTACAATTATTTAAAATAAAGAATTACTATCAATAACTCCCCCCTTTGCCACCTTTCAATTTGAAACGTTAGGAGCAATCCTTTTCTTGTTTGCACATGGATCAAATGCACATGTTTCTTAACACATGAATTCATGGCTCATTACTTTTCCTATTCGGCAATCTCGTTCGTTCTTAAGTAGTCTCAACACTCTATCCCGCTAGTTCTTGTATAGTCTCATTGCTATCCCTCAAACTAGATAGTAAATATTTACCATTGCAAGCTTATTTATAATATTTTTTCAATGCAGGGTTGTAAAGTTTTTTTTGATAATTATGTAGGCAATTGAATTTTTGTTAGAATATACGATGTACATATTAACTCACTTTTTAGTTCATCTTTTATGAAATATTTTATGCTTCTAGATATTTGGTTTGATCAATTTATAATAGATTAGTTGCAATGTTTATAACAAACTTACCATCATAGTGTATCTTCATAGACCTTTTACATTTAACTTTTAAATCTTCTATTATAATTTTAATCCATAGGAACTCTCATATATCTTGCGCGATTGCTCAAAATTTAGATTCAAATGTTGATTTTGAGACTATGTTTTTTGCTTCCTTATTGTGCTAGATTTTATTTCAGTTGTGTGCAATATCTTAAAGTGGATCTCTTATCCACCAATGATTCCATACAATTAGCGTTAATATAATTTTAGTTTATATAGTATAATGGTTTTTTTTTTTTGGGAAGCACTTTTCCAGGCTTGATTTTGGAGAATTGAGAACTTTGTACGTAGATTGAATGTAATATTTTTTTGATTTTTGCATAATTCAACTTATGATGCTTAGTATAAAAGATATGTCATGATGGACGTGGGATATATTAATTTTTCAACTAATCTTTGCTATTCTCTATCAAAAGAATCAACTTTTTCTGAGAGATGAAATTTAAAGTAAGTGTTATTAAGATGAGAATGTTTAGGTGGATGAGTGGCTTTACACTTAAATGACGAAATGAATGTATCCGTGAAATGGTTGATGTAGCTCCAGTGGCAGACAAGATTATATTGAGTCGTCCTAAATGGTTTAGTCACATGAAATGTTGACCATTTGATAATCCAATTAGGAGAGTAGATTTTTTAGATTCAACTTATGTTAAGAAATGTCGAGGTAGATCTAAAAAAAACTTGAGCATGTTGTATACAAAATGATCTTAATTTTTTAGAGCTAAATGAAAATATGACACTCAATAGGACATAATAAAGAAAAACGGTTCATGTAGCCGACCCCACTTAGGGGGATAAAAGCTTGTTGTTGTTGCTGTATGAAATCTTTTTTTTTTTTGATTGAGACACTTTTATATCCAAAAGTATTTGAGTTCGTTTAACTCTAGTTTTTTACTGAGTAATTTTTTTTTATTATCATCACCTTTAACAATTATATCAACCTACATAACAAGAATTAATTTTTTTTTCATCAGCATAATTTTTATAAATATATGCTCTCCTTGCCTTTGTTTATATCTCATTCTATACATGGTCTTTATAAATTTGCCAATTAGTACCTTGCTTTTTTAATATGTACATTTTATTTTGAAATCATTATGGAGGATTTATATAAACTTATTTTTCAACATGCCCAAGTAAAAGGATATTTTTGACATCACATTATTGTAGTATGGACCATCTAAGATTAGCAATTAGAGAAATTATGATGCGAATCGTATTCATTTTAGTAACATGAGCAAATGTTTGTCTATGATCTATCTTATGTGATTGAGTACATTCTTTTACTACTATGCTTAATGCTGTTTTAGAAATTCATTTTCTTTATATTTTAATGAGAAAACATACTTGCATCCTAGATATAGATATATTGACAACTCAATTATCTTTGAGGTGTTTTTTTCCAAGGCATTTATCTCTTCTCACGCTACTTCCTTCAAATTCTTATTTTTTAATGTTTTATATAAAATTTATGGATTTTTAGTGGTGTTGAAATTAATATTTATATGGAAGGTTTTATGTGTTGGGGAAAATTTTTGAAATAGTATTTTTTGGGTTATATGATAGATGGGAGATTGTGTGTTAATAGGTTGATCATTGTTATGAGAGTTTTCTAACGTCTTCAAATATTGAGCTGGCTGGATATGTTGGATATTTTTTTTTCTTCTTGTATGGACTTGAAGAGATTTACTGATAGGAGTAATTTGTCCTTACATTTGTGTAGTTGGGAAATCAAGTGAGAGGATATTAAGTTAATTAAGCTTTTCTTCCTTTTAGTTATTCTCTCTTTGAAGACGCGTTTGAGTGAACAAATTTATATTTCATCAAAAGTTAGATTTCTTAAAGTGAAGGATTTTTTTTTTTGTCGGATGATAATATTTAGTCGGATGATAATATTTATACCTTATTTATACCTTTTTTAAGCGGACGGACTTCATATAAAATCACATTTAAGTGCTTTGGGATCAATTGTATGTTGTTTATGGATGTGTACATATAACACCCAACTGAAAATTGTTAGATGAAATTTTGAGAAAAAAATTATTTGTGGGGGAAAATTCAGCAAGATAGCTCAAGTGACGCTTGAAACTAATCATTCTTGAGGTTGTTCTATTAATGAGATATGTGAATGTTATAATAGCTTTTCCTCGTTATCTTTTTGGAATTTGATTTTAGAAAGCAAGTTTTAGTAACTTTTATTAGGTTTTAATTTTTTTCCTTTCTATTATTCCACTTTGTTAAAAGCTGTCAGGATAGGAAATTTGGTGAATAATATATTTTTAATAAAAAAAGAAGAAGTTATAATTTGATTAAAATTATCTAGAGCATTACTAGTCTTAAAAATTTTTATATTTGCACCAAATTTATTTCTTACCATAGAGATAGAGTGAAAAATTATGATTGACATTAATTTTTTGTTTGATAAAATAAGCCCATTTCATTCGAGCGCAATGATTAATGAGTTGTAATATTTTTGTCTCCAGAAATATTTGGTATTTTTGAGTCTCCAAACATATGAGTATAATCATAAAAGGAGTAGAGGATTAGATTTGTTTTTAGAAGAAAAATTATAATTTTTAATGATTTTGCATATGTCATAATGAAAATTTTTAATACTATGGTGATGGTCACAAAAATTATAAGAAAAGATGGAAATATATGTTATAATAATTTAAAAGAGAGATGCCCTAGTCTATGGTGATGGTCACAAATGATGTTTTTATTAGGAGTAGATAGGAATGAGTAGGATTAGTGGTTATTTTTTCCAAAGAAACAAAGTCCGTTATTTTTTCTAGTTTGCCCCAATCATCTTCTTATAATGAGGTCATGAAATACACAATGATTGATAAGAAAATATCTTCTTAATGTTTTGGTCTTGGATGAGTTTAGACAAGAAGATTTATCGTTAGTTAGGAATATGTAGGCCATTATTGAGAGTACATGTAGGAGAAATAAAAATATTTTCTTAGCTCGCAATAATTGTTAGAAAGTCATTGACTTATTTTTTTATTGCTGGGATAAGTTTTGTAAGCTTGGAAAGTGCTCTCCAGATTTGTTATGTAATCATTAGCTTCTAAATGTTATTTTCTAGTTTTTACAGTAACTATTTGATACATTAAAGGTTTTTTTGGGGCAGCTGCAGCTTATTGAATAATCTGCTAATAAGCTGATTAAAAATAATCTGCTGATAAGCTAGGTGCGGTGGCTATTATAAATTTTTATTTTTTTGGAAAAGCCAAATCGTTGTGAAAACACTGTTTTCGGCGTTTTGAAAACGCATAAGCTGCCAAAACGCAGTTTACCAAAACAGACCAGATGCGTTTTCAAAATGCCACTGCACCAAATAAGCTTCCCTAAACAAACCCTAAATTTACAAGAGATGGATTTTGTAACATCTTGAG